TGAGCCCCGCCAGACCCCGCTCCGCCCGCGCCCCGCTCGACTCCGGAGGCTCCCGCAGCCCCGGCGTCCGGCCCCGCTCCCCCTCCCCGGGGGCCATGGGGGCGCCCCCGGGCTACCGGCCCTCGGCTTGGGTGCACCTGCTCCACCAGCTGCCCCGCGCTGACTTCCAGCTCCGCCCGGTGCCCAGCGGTTTCTCGCCCCAAGAACAGGCATACCAGCAGGTGGGACCGGGTGCCGGGTCCTGGGCCGGTGCGGGGGCCGGGGCTTCTTGGGGCGGAGGGAGGAGGGGGTTGGGGCCCAGATTCCTCTGTCCTCCAGAGCCGGGGACCAGGCCTGGACTTTGGGGTGTCTGAAGGAGGAGGAGCATAGGGAGCCCGTACCTGAAGGTTCCCCTGGGACGGGCGCTGTGGGAACGGGAGACCACCAGCGCCTTCCATAATGGAGGCTGGGGGCTGGGCTTCCCGTTCCTGAAGAGAAGGGGACTGGGGCCCCCTGGATTCCCGGGTCTCTGAGACCTGTCTGGCATGCCAGCCTCCAGGGTCGTCAGGAGGGTAGGTCCACGCTTCATGTCCTAAAAGATGATACACACGCACGCACACACACACGCACACGCGCACCCCAGTGCAGGTGACTATGTCCCAGTTTAGGCGGGACCCAGGAGAGGACGGACGTGGTAATGGTGGAGAGGGGAAAGGCTGGAGGTGCCCCGGTTCTGGGACAGGACTGAGAACCTGAAATGGCAGGGTCCCGCCAGGGCTGGGGCTAGGAGCACGGCCACGGAGCAGGAAGCTCCCAGCCTGTCCCAGGACGCAGGGGTGGTCAGGGAGCTGCAGGGTGGGGGGACGGTGCGGTGGGCTTGAGGAGCTGCCTGGGTGACAGGCATGATCCTGGAGGGTGGGGCCGATGAGGGGACCTTGCCGAGCCAGGTCCCTGGGTAGGGCCCAGCTTGGGGCAGCTCCTATGGGCAGAGAGAACTGTCCCCTGACCCAGTTTAATCCAAGTCCTTGACTTTGCGATTAATGAGAGGCCCAGCCATGCTGGGGACGGGGCGGGAGGGTGCGGGGAGCTGAGAGTCCAGGTGGGGCCCCGGGATGGGTCCTAGGCCCCGCCTGTAGGGTCTCAGTCCTACGACCTGTCCCGAGTTGCTCCTGGGAGAGGGGGCTGGGGACTGGGGAGCTTAGGAGCGCGGGGGTCCCAGCAATGCGGGGTGGGGGGGGTGCCCCGCCATGAGCTATTTGGGTCATGGCTGGCACAGCCTGAGCAGCTTTTCCAGCCTACTCCACGCCGCCCCCCGTCCCCACCAAACGGGACCGCCCTCCCCGC